CAAAGCAGCTTTACAGAAAAGTCCGGGACTGAGCCCTCATGAGCGTCAGCATGAAAAACTCCCTAAGAGCAGGAGGAAGAAACCTGGAGAGGAACCAAGACTCAGAGGGGGAACCCATCCTCCTCTGGACCACACCGGATAGCAAACAGTAACACAAGAGCAAAATGAACAGAGAATAGGTTGTAAATTAATGTTGGTGTAAAATACTAAAATACAGCGCGCCTGAGATCAGCTCTGTGATTTACGTATCTCTGCCTTCCACCGTGCCGGACTGATTCTTGCCATATATATTATCTTACATCTTCAGTCCACTTGTTTTCATTAACCCGATTTGGGGGTGAGTTTGGTGAAGGGTGGTCCTTCGCGTGTTGTCATGTGGGCTGTGTTGAGTTTAACTTTAAGCTCTTTAAATTCTTTCTTCACTGTTTTTTCGCTTGTATGAGACACTGCTGGCTAAGGGAGTTGGAGCACTCCTTAGCTACGTTCACATTACAAGCCTCGTTGCTCAAATCCGATCTCTCTGACTCGATGGTTCACACTCGTTTAGGTAAGAGACTCAAACCTGTCATTAATGTGACGAACCGGCGTCCTGAAATGACCCTCATGAGCTCATCCTACGCAGTAACGTCACGTGAATGAATCACGTTCATTATCAGCACAAACTAACGAGCAGAACGAGCTTCGCTGAGAAGATCATTAACTCTCAGCTTCATTATTAGAGCAAGACGAAGGAGAAGGTGAGATGAGCTGCATCAGGGCCATAATTAATCTTTTAGTACTTTTACTTTTGATACTTAAGTACATTTGAAGGCAAATACTTTAGTACTTTTACTCAAGTGGAGGTCTAAAGGGAGGAGCTTCTACTTTTACAACAGTAATACTTTACCTTGGGTATCTCTACTTTAACTCAAGTACATGGTTTGTGTACTTCATCCACCACTGGTGATGAGACTGATGACATCATGCAAAATGATTTGCCTTTTTCTGCTAATTTACATGAAACAGAATGCGTCATACAGTGTTATAACGAGGCGAGGGGTGATAACATAAACATCTGACACAAACACTGCTCTCTCGTTCTGGACCAAGGGTATGCAAATGAGCTAAGCGGCGACCAATGAGATGGTTTGTGACTTTCCCTTCTGAGCCTCATCCTGCGTGTGTTTGATCGACTCGGTCGGCTGTTTTCGGCTCCCTGTGATGAAAATACTTAAACAAAGCAGCTACGGCAGATTTAGAAAGACATAAAACTACCTCCACTGTAAAACTAGCACACGTGGGTCTTTACTACACTCAAATTATCCTAAAGTTCAGTTTTATTATTATTTATAAGGTTTTTACAGTTGCAATCCTGAAATCGGGGGATGCTTCAGCCCCCTCAGCCCCCCCCACTTCCTGTGTCCCTGAATCTGAGAGCACAGATTCGAATGTCTGGTGCTGAAGTGGCTGAAAGGTGAAAAACAGAGCTGGTTTGATTGCACAGCGACGCAGAAACACACTGGCAGAGGCCACGTGCAGTGACTGTGGTGTAGACTCTGTGTTGATTTGAAACAGAAGCGTAAATCGGCCTTAAATGGTCACTTATTATCACTTTACGTTAACTTGACCATGTTCACCGTGTTTTGGCATGTACAGGTCACTGCGGACGGACAGGCCTCGGTTAGAGTCTCAGAGCAAAACACTCTAATGGAGCTTCAGCACAGCAGCGGCTTCGACACTCACCCACCCCGGTAACCCCTGTTCTGATTGGACAGTTTTCCTCTATGACTCATCTAAAAGCCTGTTCTCATGTCATAAAAGCAGGGAGGCTGCAGGTTCTTTGGTGTTGTTTTGTGCTGCATGTGCTGGTTGTTCATGTTTAAAGGAGAGAGAGTTGAGTCGTGTGTGAGCGGCGCAGAGTCCCGATCACATTTCAGAGCAGTCAGAGTTTATCAAACGTTTGTTTTTTCTCCCCGACTCTGAGCGTAATTTGAACTGACTCCTCCAACAGCCAATGAAAACTGAGAGTGCTAATGAAGAAAATACAGCAAGTAAACAAAGAAAAATGGAGAAAAGTCTTTAAAAGTTTTTAACGAGCTGAGTTTAAGGCCTAATCGAGTTTATGTACATTTAAAACTAAAAATACCAACTGATCACATCTTTAATCCATGATCCTCACTTAACCTGCTGCTTCTTTACTGTATCAGAGAAAGCAGCAGCAGACGCTCTATGTTTGTTTATCTGCGTCTCCTAGTAAAATGAGAGTGTGAATTCAGTTCAGCAACAACTTAAAAGTTGAGTTGTGTGTGATCCCTAATATTTCAGTCTCCCAAACAAATCTACAGAAGCCAGTCGGATGGTGTGAGACGCTCAGTCTGTTATAATCTGTTAAGACTTTTCAGTTTAGCCACGCCCATTCAGCCTACAGCAGTTTAGCCCCACCCATTCAGCCTATACTGTTGCTCTGTGCTGCAGGTTGCATGTTTGTAATATTGTGTACTGCAGGCTGTTTGTGGCGTATTCTGACGGTTCTGCTGTGGAGTTTCTCTGTGCTGAGGCTGCAGAGGAGATTCTGAATGAAGCTTATACTGATCCTTCAGTCGCTGTGATCAAAGAACCTCTGCCTCACTCACACGGTCAGAACACGGTCACAGCATCCTTTTAGTCTTTACACACAGAGAAGCTAAAGATACATAATAAACTACAACCATAATCATGACTGTCCTCCTCCAGAGAAGAACTGGTTTGTGCTGTTTTCCTCCTTTAGAAGTGTCTGGAATCACAATCCTGAAGCCGTTCTCCAAACGTGTCCACTCCCGCTGGCTCCTACCCAAAAAACAGCCTGACATCATTCCTGCCAACCTCAAAAACCGGCCGTGGGACAACTTCCCCGCCTCTGAGGTAGAAACCTTTCAGCCTTTTGTTACAGCCCAGGCTTTTGCCTGTCCTTGAGTTTTTGCATAATCATGTTAGTTTCGACATCAAGTGACATCAACTATATTCTCAGATTCAGTACAACCTTAGTGAGATACTGTAACTCAATAAACGTTTTCATACACCAGAATAGGAGATATTAGTCTGTAAACAAACTCAATAAACACTTCTATATGCTAAAATAAGAGATATTAGCAAATAAACCACCTCAGTAAACACTCCTATATGATAAAGTAGGAGATATTAGTCCATAAACCACATCAATAATCACTCCTATATGATAGAGTAGGAGATATTAGTCCATAAACAACCTCAGTAAACACTCCTGTATGATAGAGTAGGAGATATTAGTCCATAAACAACCTCAGTAAACACTCCTGTATGATAGAGTAGGAGATATTAGTCCATAAACAACCTCAGTAAACACTCCTATATGATAGAGTAGGAGATATTAGTCTATAAACCACCTCAGTAAACACTCCTGTATGATAGAGTAGGAGATATTAGTCCATAAACAACCTCAGTAAACACTCCTGTATGATAGAGTAGGAGATATTAGTCCATAAACAACCTCAGTAAACACTCCTGTATGATAGAGTAGGAGATATTAGCCCATAACCATCCTCAGCATGTCGATGGTGTGTTTATTTTATGTGTTTAGAGGAAGACTGCAGGTCCTCCATTTGGAGCCACTCTGAGGCGAGGTTTGGAGGATGAGGAGAGAGAGAAACCCAGGTTGGTTCCAGCAGCGCCGGTTCTACAGTGTCCGGATACATTGCTGATCCGCCAGATTACCCAGAATCCTCCCGTCACAGAGCAGCTGTGGGGGAAACTTCAGGAGAATCTGCTGGTATCATAACACACCTGTTACAGCACACAGCTTTAGGAAAAGCCTGCTTTTCATACCAACACAATACTCTGAAGAACATGAAGCTGAGTGTTGAAGATAAATAGACACACAGCCATTCACTGGCCACTTTATTGGAAACACCTATCTTTTGCTTCCACTAACTGGCCAGTATATTAGAAACACCTACCTTGTACCTCCTCTAACTGGCCACTTTATTGGAAACACCTACCTTTTGCTTCCACTAACTGGCCACTTTATTAGAAACACCCACCTTGTACCTCCACTAACTGGCCACTTTATTGGAAACACCTACCTTTTGCTTCCACTCACTGGCCACTTTATTAGAAACACCTACCTTGTACCTCCACTAACTGGCCACTTTATTAGAAACACCTACCTTTTGCTTCCACTTACTGGCCACTTTATTAGAAACGCCCACCTTGTACCTCCACTAACTGGCCACTTTATCAGAAACACTCACCTTGTTTGATGGGTCCAGCTAGGAAAATACATTAAAGACGTTTAAATGAGGTATGAGGTTAATAATTTTCAGATTATTATCATGTTTACTTTGACTCCGCTAAAATGTGCATATGTGCATCGCAGGCGTATATAAAGCAGCTGCTGCAGAGAGAGAGGCTGAAGGATGAGATGCAGCTGAAGGAGCCTCGGACGGCGGAGGAGAAACTGCATCACAGCAACCTCCTCCACCTGCTGCTGGTGTGTGTTCAGGACCTTCACTTCATTCTCTGTGTCAGTATAGACCCTGAATCAGATCTGACTCCCTCTTTCCTCTCACTGCAGTCTCTGCCTGACTCTGAGCATCGGCCCTGTTACCATGGAAACGCATCCTCAGTCCGGTGAGGTTTATATTAAAAGAACAGTTGAGCAAATAATTCAGCTTCATCTAAACCCCCCCCCATCCTAAATGTAGTCGACCAGCCAAGACAAGGCTAATGTAGCTAAAAAGGCTTGGGCTTATTAGCACTAGCCAGTCAGAATGATGCTAATTCATCACACAGTCACCTGTGTTCAGTAATATTGTAGATGTGATAGGCCCTTTTCACATTTCCACATTTTTTCTGCTGGAGGTTCTGCTGGGTAACACTGCTTCAGCTAAAGCAACAGCAGTAACAGCGATGATGAGCACAGGCTGTACAGCTCACTCAGCAAAAACAGCTTTATCTCAGTGTCAGTGGTGAAAACTTTATTAAAACGTATTAAAATTTTATTATTTTATTTTATTATTTTATTAAAACTTTATTTTAAACTTTTTTCAACTTTATCTTAGCTGGCGATGAGCAGAGGAAAAGGGGTAAAAGGAATAAACTTTGTCATACGGAGGAGCAGAACCTCTGTGTCTGCATCTCAGCGCTGCTGACTGACGTTACACTGAATTCGGTTTGTGCTGTGAAGTTGCTGCTGCAGCCGCTTTCAGAGGAACAGTTTTCATTTTCTCCCTCTAAAGCTGCGAGTGTCTGACAGAGCGAGGGCTCAGTGGGGAGCCGATGTTTGTTCACTGGAGCCGGTGTGGAGCCCAGTCTCACATCCCCGTCCTGATTTCACTTCCCAAGGACCCTCGGCCAGAGTTAGCAAGTTAGCACGTTTTCATTATCGTGTAAGCCGATACTGTTCACTTTAAAACGTGTCACTGTTTTAATTCTGATGTGTGCTAGTTTGTTACGTTTGTTTATGAATATATTGAAGTTTACAAGTCAGGCATCGATCTACCCATGCCTTTGGAGATTCCTCTTAGGGTTGTTGATTGACGGCTGTGACATGTATGATTCGTCCAATAATGCTGCGAATACCGTGACGGGAAACCAGGAGAAGTAGGATCAGGGTGGTGATGTGGGATTGGGCTCCACACCAGTGTTTGTGGAAACATCTGCAGTGGCGCTGTGGACCCTGATGAACCCCCTGCTGGTGTGTGTGTGTTTAGCGATTTGCTGCCTCATCTAGTTTATTGTTAGTGAGCTGTTTCAGCATCTCCAGCTAACAGGGCTAATCTGGCGTTTTGGTCAGTTATTTTCACCTCCATCGCTTTAACGGACGTTACTCTGCTCCGACAGCTGTGGAGGAATTCTGCCACAAAGCATTTATAGTCTTTATTTAGTCTGGACTCTGGACCACATTGTTGTGTGTTTGGTTCTCCAACAGTTCTGGACTCATCTGCAAATTTCAATCTGACAAAGATAAAGTGGCTCACCTGTCTGTGGTGAGCTGAACTGATACAAACACTTTCTGAGGTCAGTAACTGTCCGTAAGGCCAGAGCGGAACTTATTTTACCCAGAGTTTACACACTTCTGTTTTTTGTGAAAAGGGTTTGTGCTATTGTGTTTTTCAACACTGACACTGCAAAAAAATGATCTCTTAGCAAGAGAAAAAATCTCAAGTCTAGTCAGTGGATCTTCTCATTATTACTGTTTATTCATTCATACTGAAGCCTGAACGTGGTCTGTGTTTATAGATGACAGGTACAGTCAGAAGCAGCTCCACATGCTTTGAAGAGAGTGCACCATGCTAACGCTAATGCTGGTAAATTTCCATTGCTTGTTAGCTATGTTAGCCTCGTAGCTCCACTGCTAAAGCTAAAGAAGCAAACGTGTTGGGTGGGTCGACTATATTTGGGATTCCCTGCTGGAAAATCCAGCTAAACCAGCATATGTTGTGTTTTGGAAGCTGATATGCTGGTCGACCATCATGACCATGCTGGATGACCGGCTAAACCAGCACCAGACCAGTTTAAACTACCTAAGACCAGCTTTGAATTCATACTATGCCTGTCACAGGTGTAAATGAATGGGGGGAACTCTGTAAATTAGGTTTTTTGCCAAACTGTCACTAAAACCTGAGAAAGTGTCTGTTATTAGCTTTATTAGCTTTAGCATCAATACAGTATGACTTTGTGGTACAGAGCAATAGGTTGTTTGCAGTTACGTGACTTGTGAAATCCAGATGGAGGGCAGGAAGTGAAAAGCAGAATGGACGAGACGGAGGTGAGCCAGCACTGCGCTCAGGGCTTAAAACTGCGCTCTGTGCCTGAAATGTGTTCATGGGTTAGAAGAAAGAAAGGAGGGAAGAGGATTCAGGAAATTAAGAAATTCATTAATTGAATGTGGGCGTGTCTAATAACAAAACTGAAACAAATAGACAATAACAAATAACAGTTAGTGCAATAACAAGCTGTGCAAAACGAACAGTGTAAGCACAGCTTTGAAAGCTAACATAGAATATCCAGTACAGCTCTCCTTCAAACCGGTCATCACTCGATCCTCCGTAGGTCTCTAAACAGTGTGTGCAGCACACTGCTGTCAAACGATTGCCAAACTAGTCATCGTCATCATCATCACCTGATGTAGCACCTTTCCCATGCTTAAGGTCACTTTACATCAAAACACATGATCAACAATACAGAACACAGAACACACACACCTCCACGGTTTCCACAGCTGGCGGGGGATTTCACTGACCACGATACAGAGTCACTTAACTAGCCTGGAAAGAGGCCTCAGCCATGGGCAGAGTCTCACACCGCAACTACGGTGCATCACACAGCCGGCCTGGGGAGCCTGGAAGGCTGAAAATGTCCTCAGCTGCAAAGTGGGGAGCATTTTACTGCAGCTGAACACCACCAGTCCAGGCAGCCAAGCAGCCAGCCTAGGCCGCGATGTCACATCAGTCAGGGGCCGCGTTACAGAAACCTCTTATCTTTTTGTCTTAACTTAAGATCTGACAGGTCGAGATAAGATCTTACACTAATTCGTATTACAGAATCAAATCTGATCTTAATTTAGGAATTTTATCTGATCTTACAGCATCTTATCTCCAGGAAATCTTAACCTACTAGATTGAAGTTGACAATTAGCTGTTTTGTCTGTTACCTAGCAACCGACCATACGCCCACAGCTGAAACGTAAATACGTCATCGAGTTAGTTAGCTATCGTTACTGATGTAAAAAAAAAGGTCAAACAGAACTAAAGTGTGATAAACTGTAAGTTGTGAATACTGTGAGAGCGCCCCCTGCTGTTTATCAGAGCGTCACCGCTCCCCAGTTTCAGTCTCCTTTTCCCAAACGCTTTAGCTGAGCGCGCTAACGTTACTCCTCCTAATAAACAGACACACGTTCAGCTCCGTCTCCTCATTATTCACCACCATCACTGTAATATTTCATCATCAACATTAACACACGAAGGTGATCAGAGGGGCGGTGGAGATCGAGTCTGCAGCGTCTGAGATCTTTAAAACGCAGAGTTAGAAAAGAAAATCATCTCACAGTGAAAGCAGCATTTTACAGTAGAGATAAATGGAGCTCATTATGCTGGTAGTGAACTATGCTGCTGACTCAGCTGCCTAAAAACCATAGAAACGGACCTTAAACAGAAGTGAGGACCCTCTGGAGTTTCTGTAAAACTGTTTTCTTATCTTGAAATAAGATAAGATTATATACTTAAGAACTCTTCTGTAATGGCTTCTGTCCTTAAATTCAGTCTTAACTGAAGTTGCCATGACAACAGCAGATAAGATATGATCTCAGACTTTCTGTAATATGGCCCGAGGTCTCCAGTCCAGAGAGCCTCATACAGCGTCACTCAAATGGCCGACCCAGGAAGCCTCTGGCTCTCGGCTGCTGTCTCGGTGGATATGATGGTAAACTCTTCAGCCAGCGGGGAAACATCAAAGCACACACACAAACAACACACAACTAACGAAAAACCGCTGTAAAGCTGAGGCCATACTGCACCAGCGTACTTACAGCGAGCTCACACGCACAACAAAGTCCTAAAGATCACGACAATGATATGAAAATACAACACAAAGCCTGTTAATTACAGGGCTTGTTCTAAGTAGTGCAGTCACATGTGTTAAACAAAGGCTTTTTATTAATAGGGAACCCTATAATTTGTATTAATAAAGTAGTACATTCAGTCGCCCATCACTGTATATCAGCAGATGAACTGTGCAGAATAAAACGCCTCTTTTTATGAATAAACAGAATGTAAAAACTCCACTGCAAGATTTCAGACAAACGATATCTGTTGTAAAGTCAAATTTCTGGGAACTGTCATTAGTGATTCGTCGAAGTGAAGCATTAATTCTGATCATGTGATTAAAAAACCTCAACAAAGTTCGTTCTTATTGAGACAATTAAGAAAATATAAAGTCAGAAAAGATCTATTGGTTAAATTTTATTCGTCCATTATCGAGAGTGTTCTCCCGTCATCTGTTACAGTGTGGTATGGAAATATAAATATCCAGACTTGTAATAAAGTGCAGGGCATTGTGAGTAAAACTTCAGTTTATGACCACCGACATTGCGACTGTTGTGTGGCAATAAAAAGAATGAATCAATCAATCAACGCTCCACTCCTCCCGACTGCAGACGAAGCCATTTTGCTGGTGTTTTTCTCGCATTTTTCTCCCTCATGAATATCAGCCTTTGGTACTCGATAAAATCTGCTCGTGGTTTCTTGGTTAGATCATCTTGAGCAACCATAGACGCTGCAAACCACGGGCGTTTAGAGAGCTTGTGACAGCTTCCTGTGTACAAAATCACTTCCTGCCCTCCACCTGCAGTTCGCGCCACGGCAGCACGACGTGAGGTCATTTACAAACAACCTGTTTCATAATAAAACATGTTTCTGTCTCTGTCTCAGCAGATCTGGCCTCTCTGTACACTCAGGCTGTGATGGCGGCTCAGTGTCCAGTCACTGACCAGCAGGAGGATGAAGCTGCGGATCGGTAACTCTGTCCACAATCACAGATTTACAACATTATTTAGACCTTTAGCCAAATCTTCAGTAGGAGGGGCCTTGTGGTGATGACGGTATCATTCTGTAACCCTTTAAGGCCCAGTCGCTCCAGTGTGTTCGTATGAGTGACAGCAGGATTAGCATTTTCGTATCACACACCAGTGATGGGGAGTCGATTCCGAAAGAATCAATTCTTCGACTCCAACGCGTCTGGGAGTCGGGGTCAACCCTTGGCCAATGGCTCAGATAGCAGCAACATGTTGAAATAAAACAGCAGGAAAATAAACCGACCCTCCGTGTAAATCAGCTCCTCATACTGTTTAGTTAGCTATGCTAGTTACTCCGACACCGCTTTGATCTCGACAACACAAAGTCAGTTAAAGCTGTTCTCACTATGAAGCTTCAGTTTAAGATGATCAGCTTCATCAGACAGTGATGAAATCCCTCAGCAGGGCTGCTTACAGGCTGCTGTTGGGGTTGTGGTGCTAATAAAAGTGGAGCCGCGTCTCTTCAGGTCAAACGCTGAGCGAAGCTGCTCGATGCTGTCCGAGCTTTGAGAAACTGTCCAGAGTGAAATAAGCAGAGAAACTAACAGCTCTGAGTTAAAGCTGTCGGGATCCTGTTAGAGATGTGGGAGCTGAGGTCACTGTTCGCCAGCTTGTTTTGAGAATTTTATGTTCCACCTTAAATGGTGCTGCAGCATTTAAGGTGGAACGGAACATTTGATTAAGAAGCTGGCCACCCGTTCAGCCTACTGCACCTGCACAACGAAGTTATAAGGAGCGTTTCAGCCCAGACTGCTTTTTGAATGAGGCAGCCAATCAGAACAGAGCTCATTTACATATATCAGTCTTAAAGGTAAAGTAGCAAAAACAGGCTGATGAACTAAGGGATAAAGAGAGTCAAATAAACATGAATTATGATTGTGTTTGGTACATAAACCACAAAAACATCATAAGTGGATCTCAAATGGAGAAATTTGGCTCTTTAGATGATTATTTTTAAAACATTGGATTTCGTTAATTAAGTGAATAAAAGCTCTGGGGATTTTGTTTTAGTGTGTTTGTTGCTCAGTATTTGAGTGCTTTTGGTTTGTGCGTCAGATTTTCAGTGTCCAATATAAAACAATATCACTGTCGCGCTGACAGGGAAGCAAAACTGTGCGGCTTCCTCCATTCAGGGTGGATTGTGTTTCAGGGTGGAGGGACAGAGGCAGGAGCAGAAGCGGGACTCTCTGTGGGGAGACAGGATTAACCACCTCAGGTAACAGCGGCTCTCACTCACTGTTACAGCACCTTCACACAGTGAGGTTCAGCCTCCGCTGTCAGCACGGCTTCACGATTTAAAACAATGGCTCACCAAAAATTTAAATGTACACAATTTTATCCTCTTTTTATCTCACAGTCAATTCGTCTGGTTTTTCTCTTAATGTAATAAACGAAGCTGCGTTTACATTTGACTGCAGTGAGGGGCGTCTGCATCTGATTTACACTGTGTTTGAGTCTACATTACATTCTGATCAGAGTCGGCACGTCTGCTTCTTTAAAAACAGCTGAAACTATAATGTTGTTGCGTTTGGCTGGCGAGGTGTCAGCTGTGTCCTCTGACTGCTTCAGCTCTGATCTTCTCCAGGTTTGACCTCCAGGAGGAGAGAAGGTTCCGCCACGCCCTCCGAAACCACACCATCACTCCATACTTCCACTCAGAGCTGCAGGAGATGCCTCACTACATACAACAGGCAAATACCACCACCTGCACATCTGTTTATTTGTCTGTCTATCTATCTGTCTGTCTGTCTATCTATCTGTATGTCTGTCTGTCTATCTATCTGTCTGTCTGTCTATCTATCTGTATGTCTGTCTGTCTATCTATCTATCTGTCTGTCTATCTATCTGTATGTCTGTCTGTCTATCTATCTATCTCTGTCTTTCTGTCTGTCTAGCTGGCTATTTGTCTATCTATCTATCTATCTATCTATCTATCTAGCTATCTATCTATCTAGCTATCTATGTATTTATCTATCTGTCTGTCTGTCTAGCTGTCTGTCTGTCTGGCTGTCTGTCTGCCTGCCTTGCTAATTATCTGAGTCAGGTGTGTTTAATGAGGCAGTGAGCTGCAGTCTGCAGTGTTCTGACTGATGTGCTTTAAAGGAACTACACATCTATACACATAATCTATACCCTGAGAACAGCTCGGTCAGTTTGCATTGAAGCCCTGTAGTTACTGAATAATAAGCTTTAGTATGTAACACACCTGGGATGTTAAGGGGTCAATAATAAATCAATAATAAATTATTTACTGAAAAATTGTATTATATCATATTTTATGCTGGCCTCGTTTTATTAAAGCAATAAGCCACTCGAGGCTGTACGTTAATGTGAATTTATCACGGGAAGGTGGTTTTACTCTGCTAAGAACACCCTTCCTGTGTTACATTTGCAGTGACTCTCAGCCTCGAGTGGCTTATTGCTTTAATTTAAGGCCTGAAACATTCTTAACACAAGCACACGAGCGCAGACGCTTCAAGCTGCACAGACAGGGTTTCACACATAGTTGCATTTAAAAATGTACTTGTGTACTTGGGTTGAGTCTGTTTCAGAGGGTCACAGCAGCACATCGTATATCTGACACTGTGAGGTCGAGCCTCTTTGCCTTGCTGTCTTCTTCCCTGTGTGAAGCTGCAGTGTTAAAGCTGTGCGGCGCTGCAGGTGGTGAGTGACACTGGGATACAATCTCGGCTGATGATCTACTGCGACTGAATCACAGCTGAGATGATATCCACCGTAACGCACCACCTCCAGTGTTCTACTCCTTAAATAGCCACCAGAAAGTAAAGCTGGATGGTGTTTGTTCTGAACAGGAGCTGGATTTGGGGTCTCTGTCGCGAGAACTTCCTCCGTTCCCCAAAAGAACCTCAGGAGCTCAGACCAGCTCAGACTCCTCCGACTGAACCAGCTCAGCGTCTCTGAGCTCTACACTCCGGAACCTGCTCTACACCTACTGTACTCTCTTAAAGGAGAGGGTTCTTCTGTAAAGACAGATGCTCCTACATAGAACCATCAACACTCAAAGAACCATCTGCATAATTAAATGGTTCTCTGCATGGTGGAATGGTTCTTCAGATTGATGGGGAATGTGTTGTATATAGTTCTTTTTGAAAAGGGTCCTACAGAGCACAGATAGGTTCTACTGCTGTTACGATACAAGCTTGTTAGAATAGAAGAACCCTTTTTGGTGATATATAGAACCCTTTTCAAAAAGGTTCTATATAGAACCATCTACAGCACATTCGTCTTTAATCTGAAGAACTATTTTATGATGCAAAAAAAATGTTCAGAGTTCTATATAGAAGCATTTTCTTTACTAAAGAACCCTCGAAGAACCGTGTTTTTAAGAGTGTACATCATCCCTTTATGAATTGTCTTCAGTTAAAAGATGAAATATTATCTCTCAGTAATCTGCAGCAGCATGCTTTCACACTGATTAGTAAAGGTTTTATTAGACATTTTTATTCCAGATTGTTTTATTGAGGTTTTTGTTAAAGAAAAAGATTCATCAGATATAAAATAATAAATAAATACATACAAAAATATGTATAAAACCTTGTGTATCAGAATTGATCTTTTATCTATGAATATATTGATCAGAGGGAACCAGCACACATAAAAAACAAAGAAAATAATGAAACATACAAAGCTGCCTGCTGAGGTTCCTCCGTCTGGCCCGTTTTAAAGGCAGTGTAGATACATAATCCTCTGTATCAGCACTGATGTTTCATAATCCTCATATGTTTCATATCTAAATGCTCCGTTATCTTCATCACTACTTTCCAAACCCGCTGCAGCAGCTTCAGCAGCTGTAAACTCTCTGCACGCCGTTTCACACGAGTCTCCGATGTGGACTGAATGAAGAATGAAGGGTTTCCGGCGTGATGGTCAGTCCTTAGTGATTTCCTGAGTGTCCATTGGTCAGTTTCACACAGAATGTAGACGGACACGCCAATCCACCAGTTCCACACGGTGAGAGGCAGATGACGTGTATCTCAGCCCCTCTTCATAGGCTCATAACTCCGGATGTGAGTCTCGTATGATCTCGTGATAAGATGGAATGGAAAGGGCGACTCTACAGATTCAGGAAGTGTTTGAACTGGATTTCTGAGCTGGATCATCACAAAGACACAGACACAGATAAAGAGACAGAGGATTTGACACACAGGTGAGTTCTTGGAATATTTAAAAGACATTTTAAAAACCTCACCTCACCTCAAGCCTGTAAAGGCCTGGTATAAAACTCTGTTACGTGTTATAGTGCTGGAAGTGCCCAGAGACTGCATTTGAGCACTAATCTGCAGTGTGAGGGGTCAGTTTCACTCACTTATTTCCAAAACACAATAAACAGGATACTCCAGAGACTCTCTTGACCAGTCAGAGCCCACCTTTCATTTATTTAATTTACGGTCAAAAATGGCCACTATGTGCAAGTTATTCATTTTTCCAGGAGGTTAAATATAAAAATCCTTCTGCTTTGAGTGACACTTTACCTTAATTATGTTTATTTTAGTGACTGTTTCAGTGACAATTTTAGCTAATTTTGAGCTCAAAAACTCTTTTGAGCAAATCATCATATTTACATTTACATACAAGACACTAAAAAGTGCTGAACTGCAGAAAATATGACGGTTCTTAATGTTCCACACTGATTTTCAGACTGTGGGACTCATTTACTTCAAAACAATGGGATCTAACTGCTCACCATGTGGCCACGAGGGACAGGGATGCAGCCCCACTTCCTGCTCTGAAATGCAGGGGCGGGGCTTAAATAAGGCTCCACCCACAGATGAAAACTTTGTTTTGTTAATGACATGGAAACGTAGGACAGTTTTGATGATAAATCAACATTGAAACCACATAGAAAAATGTAATTATTGTTTTCAGAAGTGTAAGTTTAGAGGTTGGGTTTGGGACGGGCGCCTCCAAACAGAAAGAACCCTATAAATTATTTTATATTTTATATATTTTGTATATTTAGTTTATTACCGTCTCTGTTAATGTAGTATCTTGAACTAATTCAGTAGAAAGCTCCATATATACAGTGTTATTACTGCCTCCATATATACGACTAGTACTTTGGCAGGTGTACATGCCCCCCGACAGATGTCCACACACACACACACACACACACACGCACACACACACACACACACACACACACACACACACATAGTGGAACAGTGTTTTGTGCGCTGGTCAAATTCCATGTATTTGTTGATGTTCTGAGTATAAGTAATGTTACACCTCCTCTACAGAGACTCACTACTGTTCACTATCATACACACTTACTGTTTATTTATTGAACTAACATACTGCTATTAACATAATTAACTAATATGTTAGCTGATTAACATATTGCTCTATTGCTAAATTTTCTTCGGGATCAATAAAATATCTATCTATCTATCTATCTATCTATCTATCTATCTATCTATCTATCTGTCTATCTAGTTAGCTGTCTGTCTGTCTGTCTGTCTATCTAGCTGCCTGTCTATTGGATGAAAACTAAGTCATAAACAGTGCCCTGAGCCAAAGGAATGGTACATTTTCTGTTGAATGTTTTCCCAGTATGTTAATCCAGTAAATGAACAGTAGGTGTGTGTTAGAGTGCGCAGTAGTGAGTCTCTGTAGAGGAGGTGTAACTTATTCACACTGAAAAGTGTAATTTGATCCGGGGTGTTCAAACTTTTGCAGATGACTGTATTTGCTAAGGTGAACTACAGAGAGTGACGTATAAACCTGCCCAGTGTCCTGAAGCCTCTGAGTGACTGGACTTCACTGACCACGGTTTAGCTATAAACCTCATTCTGAGTATCAGCACACATTACCCTCCACTCTGACCTAACTGACCTGTGTGTGTGTGTGTGTGTGTGTGTGTGAGTGTGTGTGTGTGTGTGTGTGAGTGTTTACACATGGCTAACCACAATCCTCCTTGGTCACTTGCACCCAGAGCTCAGCCTGGCTGGTCAAACACAGGAAGCTGCAGGTAACAGCGAGACTGAAAGTGAAACACCTGAGCTGCGTCCCAAACTGTGCACTGTTCATTACAGAGCGCGCTATTTTTGGGTTCTGCCATTTTGTAGTGATGTCTGAAAAAACAATCTCACCATGCACTTCAGGACACTCTTAAAAAGATGGTTCTTCAAGGGTTCTTGAATAAAGACATATAGAACCTTTTTTAAAGGGGTCTGCTATTGTGACGATGTCAGGAATATAACAATAGAACCATCTACTGCACATTCTCCTTCAGTCTGAAGAGCCATTTCACCATGCAAAGAACCATTTAAGCATGCAAAGGGTTCTTTGGGTGTTCATGGTTCTATATAGAACCATGTACTTTACTAAAGAACCATCTTTTTTAAGAGTGTAATGTACAACTGATGTAGTTACTGAATAAGCTGTAGTAGATAATAAGTGTGAGGTTTTAAGGGGTTGAGATTCATGTGCAGCTGCAGCGGCTGCGTCTCCTCAGACCTTCACGTCTGATACAGATGTGAGTCAGATCTGATCTTCTGACTGCAGGACGTTTACAGTGTTTCACCACTGTAATGGGTAACTCTGTATGGGGTAGCGTCCCAAATCCTTTACTACCGTCACCAGCTCTGCCCCCTAGAACAGTGCTCTAGATAGTGACCCAGACTTTCTAATGTAGGGTTTAGTGTTTAGGGGATTATTTCAGACACAGCGCTGGAGAAGGTTTGAAGTGAAACGCTAGACTGTCCAATTCCTCTGGTTCATGTAGCTGAATGGTGGAGCTAAACTGCTGTAGCTGAATGGTGGAGCTAAACTGCTGTAGCTGAATGGGTGGAGCTAAACTGCTGTAGCTGAATGGGTGGAGCTAAACTGCTGTAGCTGAATGGGTGGAGCTAAACTGCTGTAGCTGAATGGTGGAGCTAAACTGCTGTAGCTGAATGGGTGGAGCTAAACTGCTGTAGCTGAATGGTGGAGCTAAACTGCTGTAGCTGAATGGTGGAGCTAAACTGCTGTAGCTGAATGGGTGGAGCTAAACTGCTGTAGCTGAATGGTGGGGCTAAACTGCAGTAGCTGAATGGTGGAGCTAAACTGCTGTAGCTGAATGGGTGGAGCTAAACTTCTGTAGCTGAATGGTGGAGCTAAACTGCTGTAGCTGAATGGTGGGGCTAAACTGCAGTAGCTGAATGGGTGGAGCTAAACTGCTGTAGCTGAATGGGTGGAGCTAAACTGCTGTAGCTGAATGGTGGGGCTAAACTGCTGTAGCTGAATGGGTGGAGCTAAACTGCTGTAGCTGAATGGTGGAGCTAAACTGCTGTAGCTGAATGGTGGAGCTAAACTGCTGTAGACTGCTGTAGCTGGTGGGGCTAAACTGCTGTAGCTGAATGGTGGAGCTAAACTGCTGTAGCTGAATGGTGGAGCTAAACTGCTGTAGCTGAAAGGTGGAGCTAAACTGCTGTAGCTGAATGGTGGAGCTAAACTGCTGTAGCTGGATGGGTGGGGCTAAACTGCTGTAGCTGAATGGTGGAGCTAAACTGCTGTAGCTGAAAGGTGGGGCTAAACTGCTGTAGCTGGATGGGTGGGGCTAAACTGCTGTAGCTGAATGGTGGAGCTAAACTGCTGTAGCTGAAAGGTGGAGCTAAACTGCTGTAGCTGAATGGTGGAGCTAAACTGCTGTAGCTGGATGGGTGAGGCTAAACTGCTGTAGCTGGATGGGTGGGGCTAAACTGCTGTAGGCTGGATGGGTGGGGCTAAACTGCTGTAGCTGGATGGGTGGGGCTAAACTGCTGTAGCTGGATGGGTGGGGCTAAACTGCTGTAGGCTGGATGGGTGGGGCTAAACTGCTGTAGGCTGGATGGGTGGAGCTAAACTGCTGTAGCTGGATGGGTGGGGCTAAACTGCTGTAGGCTGGATGGGTGGAGCTAAACTGCTGTAGCTGAATGAGTGGAGCTAAACTGCTGT